CTGGTTTTAAGGGGAGATGATATGGACATTTGAGGGAAATAAGTGAAGGAGATTTTGAGATCACAAAGCCCGAATTGTGTGAAACTAGGGTAGATAGAACATCAAAAAACCTTATTGAAATGCATCATGCCACATCGGGTTGAAGCTAAAGACAAGTTTACCCCAAATTGGCAGGAGTCGTTCATGGTAGCGAGAGTGTTGTCCAATGGTGCTTTGTATTTAACAAATGTAGAAGGCAAATGTGTGGATGTGGCTATCGATTCTGATGTAGTCAAAAGATATTACGTATGGTTTCTTTGGTTTGTTAATTGTGTTGTTTGCATTTGGCATGCTTTGAAGATTGGAAAGACGAATGCATTTTATTCTGCTATCTAAACACTTTATCCTTTGTCACCCCTTTAAGCCTTATTTATTTTCTTTCATATCCCTCTTTTGGAATCAGGAGCAGAGTTTAGAAATATGATACAGAAAAAAGGAGAGAAAAGAAAAAAAAAGAGAAAAAGAGAAAGAAAAATGGAAAAAGAGTAAAGAAAAGAAAAGAAAAGGAAAAGAGAAAAAGAAAACGAGAGAGAGAGAGAAAAGTACAAAAATGAAGCAATTCCTATGTTATGAACTACGTTCGACCTGATTCCTTTTAAGGATACGTAGGCAGCATCACGGCTCGGTCCCATCAAAATAAAAATCCAAAAGTCCCCAGGCAAAGGAACTGGGGCAGAAGTTATGGTTGTTGTAAGAAATCTGATTCCGAAAGTTATAATTTTTAACCCATCTGAATTGTTTTGAGCCTTTTTGATACCCTTTATTTCTAACCCTATCCAAAAGCCCACATTACGATCCAAAGAAAGACCTTCCGACCAGTCTTCGAGAGATGCCAAGTCGAGCAAGTAGGTGATTCATATCAGGGGAAACACTCCGTTCTGAACAAAGAGAAGAAGAAAATGAGAGGGTCCTATTGGTAAAAACCTTCACAGGCACCATGAGGCGACAGTGAGTTGAGAGAAAGAACAAAATGAGAGAGACTTGATGGTGAAAACCCTTCGGGCACTACAAGTCGAATAAGGATCATGAATTAGATTGGATAATCGGAGCATTGAAGCCTAGTCTCATGATTTAGGGGTATAACAAGAGTTGAACATCAGACTTGCATTGACAAAATAGGCCACATGTGCATGTCATTGTCATTAGAGTTGGTATTCACATTTGATAGGTTCCTACTTTGTAGTTTTCCTGTTAGGAATCATCTCTTTCCATTTTTCTTTACTTTGTCCCTTTTGTCTTGTTTACTTCCTATTCCTGAGTTTGTTTGGTCAGAACAAGTGAGAAATGACTTCAAATTTACCACCAGCTTTCCAAATTGCACAAAACAGGATCTGGCTAGCACATCAAAGTGGCATAAGTCAGGAAAGAACAACGTGTGCACTGAGTTAGTAATAATCAACATACTTTGGGGTTCATGTGAAATACAAAGGTTTGGTATATATCAAGTCATGAACAATGCAACAAATGGAGGGTTAGGGTAAACGGATCAAAGGTATTTTCTGTGATATGATTGGCAAAGAAAGTGGTTAACCAGTGACAAGTAAGATCTTCCAAGCAGAAATCAAAGTTATCATGGCAAGTGATGGAGAAATAGACCTCAAGTACAAGGCCAATGATTTAAATCAGGAAAGGACAGCATGCGCACTGGGTGGATGGCAATTGACGTGCTTTGGGATTCATGAGAAACACAAAGGTTCAGTACATATCAATGCAAAAGCACAATGCAACAAATGAATGGTATTGGGTTTGAATGGAGAAGAGGTACTTTCTGTGATAAGGATGACAGAGGAAGTGGTTAGTCAATAAATAAGCAAGGTCTTCAAAATAGAAATCAAGTTATCATGGGAAGTGAAGGAGAAATCGCTCTCGAAATCAAGGCCACAAACCAACCACCATATTTTTAAACTGACAAGATTTTTTTTTGATTGAAACAGGGGCAGAAAATTTTGTTTGTTTTGGAGAAACCCTCCGTAAAGAAAGTCAAACACCAGACAGGTTTGACAGTTAATTCTCAGGACCCTCCTGGAAAATGGGACCTAGTTTAAAATTCAAAACAATCGTGAGTAACGAGATCTAGAGTAAGTGTACCCCAAAGGGATATAAGTTGGTGTCAAAGTTTGCATGTTTAAGATAGGATTCAATTAGGAGTTTTCAAGACCCTCCTGAATAATGGGATCCAGCTTTAAGATTTCTATTAGATAACAAGATTTAGCATAAGTTTTGTTGTAGGGTAGTATAATTCAGCCGTAAAATTATCACTCTTAAGATAAGACTTAATTTTGGTTTTCAGGACCCTCCCGGATAATGTGGTGTAGTTTTAAGACTCTCTTAGATAACAAGATTTAGCGGAAATCACACTAGAAGATATAATTCAGATTTAAAACCGTCATTTAACTAGGAGTTGTCAGGACCCTCCTGGATAATGGGATCTAGCTTTCAAATTCTTAAAATATTCGGTAACATGATTCAGTTAACACTCACATATGTGCCCAGCTACCAAACTGGGGCAGAAAATTTTCTTCGTTTTGTCTATTTTGTTGAAATCAGGTGCCCACCTAGAGAATAAGGGAATACAGTTAAGATTTTGACAATCAGGTGCCCACCTGGAGAGTAAGGGAATATAGTTGAAGTTTTGGCAATCAGGCGCCCACCTGGAGAGCACAGGAATACATTTCAAGTTTTGGTAATCAGGCGACCACCTGGAGAGCACGGGAATACAGTTAAAGTTTAGCAATTAGTCGCCCACCTGGAGAGCAAGGGAATACATTTAATGTTTTGGCAATCAGGCACCCACCTAGAGAGCACGGGAATACAGTTCAAGTTTGGTAATCAGGCACCCACCTGGAGAGCACGAAGATACAGTTCAAGTTTGGCAATCAGACGCCCACCTAGAGAGCACGGGAATATAGTTAAAATTTTTGGCAATCAGGCGCCCACCTGGAGAGCACGGGAATATAGTTCAAGTTTGGCAATCAAGCGCCCACCTGGAGAGCACGGGAATACAGTTCAAGTTGGCAACCACGCGCCCACCTGGAGAGCACGGGAATATAGTTAAAGTTTTGTCAATCAGGCGCCCACCTGGAGAGCATGGGAATACAGTTCAAGTTTGGCAATCAGGCGCCCACCTGGAGAGCACGGGAATACAGTTAAAGTTTTGTCAATCAGGCGCCCACCTGGAGAGCACGGGAATACAGTTCAAGTTTTGGCAATTAGGTGACTACATGGAGAGTAAGGGAATACAATTCAAGTTTTGGCAATCAGGCGCCCACCTGGAGAGCAAGGAAGTACATTTCAAGTTTCGGCAGTCAGGCGCCCACCTGGAAAGCAAGGGAATACAATTAAAGTTTTGGCAATCGGGCGCCCACCTGGAGAGCACAGGAATACAGTTAAAGTTCAGCAATCAGGCGCCCACCTGGAGATCAAGGGAATACAGTTAAAGTTTGGGCAATCAAGCGCCCACCTGGAGAGCAAGGGAATACAGTTAAAGTTTTGGCAATCAGGTGCCCACTTAGAGATCATGGGAATACAGTTCAAGTTTGGTAATTAGGCGCCCACCTGGAGAGCACGGGAATACAGTTCAAATTCGGCAATCAGGCGCCCACCTGGAGAGAACGGGAATATATTAAAGTTTTTGGCAATCAGGCGCCCACCTGGAGAGTACGGGAATACAGTTCAAGTTCGGAAATCAAACGCCCACCTGGAGAGCACGGGAATATAGTTCAAGTTCGGGAATCAGGCGCCCACCTGGAGAGCACGGGAATACAGTTAAAGTTTTGGCAATCAGGCGCCCACCTGGAGAGCACGGGAATACAGTTCAAGTTTTGGTAATCAGGCAACCACCTGGAGAGCAAGAGAGAACAACATCAGTTTTAAAAAAGGGAAACAATTTAAGTGTCGGTAATCAGGCGTCCACCCGGAGAAAAGGAAAGCATCTCAGATTATAATTCGAGTTCAACAATCAGGCGTCCACCTGAAGAAAAGTAAAAGTGTTTCAGATCACAATTCAAGTTGGCAACAAAGGAACTTCACCTAGAAATTACAAGCAAACAAGGCAACAAGAATCACAAGATCAAGATTGAAGATATAGATAGGATTTTTGTAATTCAAAGATCATAGTTTAGTCTAGCTTCTTTTTATTTTATCATGGTGTAATAAGGGGTTCAACAAGCAGTAGCAGCGATGACAGCACCAGTGAAATCACAACGTCATGGTAGTCCCAGCTACCAAAACTTCCCGAACTACACTGACCTGATTCTTTTATAGCCAAGGATATATAGGCAACCTCAGAAGCAGGGTGCAGTCAAATCTTTCAAAAATGCTTCCCACGGAGTATTCAAACGGGCAAAAATTGCTCGTATTCGCTCACTTTATCTTTGCACGAAAACTCTTCGTGTTTTTGAGCAAAGAGGGGCAGCTGTGAGCATGTGATTTTTGCCCTATATGAATTATTCTCATAAATTCAAACAAAATAAATTTTTCCCATTGTTTGCAATTTCGTGGATTTTTGTAGCATTTTTTGTTAATTGCTTGCATTTGTCTGTGCACATTTATTTTATTTAAATCATGAAAAATACCAAAACATATCATGCATGGCATTTAGGCTTTATTTTTACATTTTTAGGATTAATCGGTAGTTACTTGTTTTATAAAAATTAAAAATCACAAAAAATGCTTCATTTTTACACTTTTTTCTTTTATTGATTTTTCTCTTTTAATTTAGGATTAGTAGCTTTTATAATTTTTGTAATTAGTTTAATTTCATATTTTTTTAGATAATCTAGGATTTTAATTTCTAGGATTTTTAATTAAAGAAAAAGGAAAGTAAGAAGAGAATTTGAAAGTGGGTTTTAATTCAAATTTGGGTTGTTCTTATACCCAAAATCTGGCCCAAACCACTCAAAGCCCAATCCCTTCCCCCTTCATTAAACCTAATCCCTTCCCCATTAAAAGGACCCAAGGCATCAGATGAAAAAACACGCCTAAATCCCTAGACACCGATACAGACACAAGAACGACGCAACCCCAAGGCTCTCAGTTTCTGTCTTCTTCTTCTTCATTTCTCCACTGAAAACAAAGATCGCACTCTCACCTTTCCAAAAATGCAGCAGCGGCGCAAGAGAGGGCGGAAAAACGGAAAAATCAGCAGCAGCTCACAAATCTCTCTCCATAGAAGAGCTGACTGTCGTCCCTTATTCTTCTCTGTCTTCTTCACTCTCATTTCTCACCTTCACCCACACCCATTCATATACACCTACACATATCTGGAAAAGAAGGGACCCTTTTAAATTTCAAAAAAAAATCAAATCTAAAAAAAAGGCTTCGAAAAACTAAAGAAAAACGGAGATTTCAATGGAGGTTTGAGTTGATTTCTGGGATCCCGGGCAATTTAGAGCTCGAGACTGAAGCTGTGTATTGATTTCTGCTGTTGAATCGGCTGTTTGGTGGCTGAACTCAGACCATCATTTTGGTCCATTTCTTTGATGTTGTTCTGCTTGTAGTTGTCCTGAAGTATTTATGGAAGTTGATTCAAGTCTAATAGTGGCCTTTACTCTGCATTTTAGCTGTCCTGAAGAATTTATGGAAGTTGATTCAAGTCAAATAGTGGCCTTTACTCTGCATTTTAGCTGTCCTGAAGAATTTATGGAAGTTGATTCAAGTCAAATAGTGGCCTTTACTCTGCATTTTAGGTACGTACAGGTCAACTGTAATTCTCTGTTGCATTTCTAAATGAAAATATGGGTTATCTTGTCATGTTTTGTGTTTAATTTTATGGGTCCAGCATGTTTAAGACTTCCAAGTTAATTAGAGTACTTATTCCGTTAATCCTGGATATTGCCGGTGTATTTTAATTTAAATATTCAACTTGTTGATTCCTCATATATTGGTTTCAATATTTTTGGTAATACATTACTGTTAAAATGATGATTCATGTTTGGGATAACCTTTAGCGTGGTATATTTGAAGCCTGATCCTCATGTGGCCATGTTTGGTTTGGAAGAAGTTCAGTTTAGCGATTTCAGGATGGAGGATTCTGCGATTTCATTGTCCTATTAATTGGAAACAATTGTTCATTAGTTTGCTATCAAAATTTGGAGATCAGGCTGGGGATTGATGCTTGTAGGTTATATGCAGATTTGAAGTTAAAAGTCCTCTGCTAGTTTAAATACCTCACCTAGTTTGATTCAGCATACAAAATATAATTAAAACAACTTTTTCTGTCAAAATTAGTTCATTTCCTTCTAATGCATTTTCTGAACTTGGATAACATGAGTTTGAGTTTAATTGTTGGGTTATTTTATTCCTTTGTGATGATGTATTCTATAATCAACAATATAGCTATTTGGGTGGCTATTCGTGTAAATTACAAATGTTTAAAATGATAGAAGCTCATTGTTCAATCACTGACTTTATTTTGTTGAGCTATAATTTTGAATGGTATAGTCGTTTTGAAAAATACAAGGCATGTGTGCTAATAAGGATTTTCCAGAAGCATTAAGTCCAATTAGTCACGATTCGTCAAATAGCTTATGGCACCTTCGAATTTTTTTTAGTTTTCCTTTAAAATAAGTCGAGGTGTGCCGCGCCAAATAAAATCTCAAATGCATGGCCCTCATTTATTTATTTCTTTTAAATCCTTAGAACTCGAGGCGCGCCATTTAGCAAATTTCGCATGGCCCTCGCAAAGTTAAAAATGTGTAGTTGCTTTAGGCGCGTTATTTTAATAATATTACCTTCCTAAACTCGGGTGTGCATTTCATGTGACCCAAATCCAAATCTTAACAACGTTGAATAAAATGTGTTTCGGATTGCGAGTGCATTTCATGCGGCGCGGTCCAAAGACATGTTTTAGATGGCATTGAAATCTTCCTTAAAATAATTAAAAGCAGTTTAAAGTTAAAATGCACATAGGTTCAAAAGTGTTTTAAAATCAAATAATAGGCCAACTATAACAGTTGAGCGACCGGCTAGAACCACGGAACTCGGGAATGCCTAACACCTTCTCCCGGGTTAATAGAATTCCTTACCCGAATTTCTGGTTCGCGGACTATAATACAAAGTCAATCTTTTTCCTCGATTCGGGATTTGAACTGGTGACTTGTGACACCATAAATTATCCCAAGTGGCGACTCTGAATTTTAAATAAAATAATCTTGTTTCGATTGTCACTTAAATTGGAAAAACTCTCTTATATACCCCTTTACGGGGGTGTAGGTAAAAAGGAGGTGTGACAGCTGTAGCCTCGTCACTACTTCGCCGAGGTTAGTGTAGGCACTTACCAGCACATGGTGTCGGTTGTGCTGATACTACACTCTGCATTGTGTGTAGATACTGATACCGGGGCGCTTGGACCGCAGTGAGGGTGCTGTTTTCAGTCCATTCAGGCGACCCGAGGTAGTCCTGCAGACGCCCGCGGGCCTTGGCATCTCCTCCTATCACTTCTCTTTCTGTTTTTACTTATTCAGAGACAGATTTATGTGTTTTCATTCAGACCTTATTGTAGTATTCTTATATAGTCCGTGACTTGTGACACCAAATTCTGGGTGGTATTGTATTTCAGATTATATAGCAAATGTTCGGTTAATGATTAAGTTTTCGTCTTCCGCATTTCTGGTTATTTAGTTTATTCCACTGCTTAAATCACTCATTACTTTGAATTATTGAACATACTTAATAAAAAGGGTAATGAATTTATAATACTCGGTTTGCCTAGTTTTCACGAGTAGGCGCCATCACGACTCCCGAGGGTGGAAAATCCGGGTCGTGACACTATTTTTGCGTAAAATTTAGTATTTCCTTAATGGGTGTACCCAATGCAAATTGGTCACTTATTGTGGACTGGAGGGAGTAGTTAATTAGACATTATTTTAATCCTTAGTACTAAAAAATTTCATCAGAACATTTCTCGATTTGCTAATCTCTAAAACTCCATATCTTAATTATCCGAACTATTTCGTTTAACGATTATGTAGGAGAATTTGATTTCTTGTTGTCTTATGATCACCAATTTTTTTTCCTCTGTGACGTGAAGTTAGGTAACTACATATCTGTAAAATAAGACCTAAAGAAAAGATCGTCACATGACAAGAATAAGAATGAATAGCCATAATACTTTGTATCATTCAAGACTAAAAACTGTTTCAAAATATTAGAATTTTATAAATATTAATAAAGAGAAAAGCTAAGCCAATGGTGAATTAGGGCATTAGGTGATAGTTGGAGTGCAGTGAAGATTGTTATTGGGAAGTAAGTGGGACACAATAGGTAAAATACTTCAGAACAAAAGCGGTTCTCGAAATCAAGTAAATATGTATGTTGAGTTATTGTAAAACACCACAATTTCATATCTGATCGGTTTCAAATATAGAATCTAAATCATGACTTAGAAACAGTAAAAGTTCATTGAATCATATTACAATTAGAATTAGACATGTAATTTAAATCCATAAAGAATTGGTAATATTTTTAAATTCACAATTACATCCATATCTAACTTGCATCATTAAACAAATAGTTTAGCTATTTGAGGGCGTAAAAATCAATTAATATTTTAGAAATATTTTGGCCGCTTAATATCTAGTGTAAAGTATTCGTACCTTTATAATAATATGGATATATAATCGTACAAACTTTCTGCTGAAAGAGTCCGAGTGTCTGACTTTCTTTCCTGTTGTAGATTGTAACGGCAATGTTACAACAAGTTGATTGTCCAAAATTGAGTTCAAGGGTTTATTAATTTATTATTAGGTTGTCTACACTAATTCTTTCCAATAACATATTGATTATAGCATGAGATACCTGTGACATCATTCCTCTTTTCCATACTGTTTCTTGATGATATTGAACAAGATTAATAAATGGCTGGATGAGTTTCAAAATCTTAATTTTTTTAAAAAAAAAATCCGAAAATTTTAGGGAAACTCGCAGTTGCTATCCTTCTAGTGCACAATGAGTAACCCGCTCATTATGTAAACAACACTATACAAGTCCGGTGCGACGAGCTCTGATTGAAAAGACTACTGGGGAGGGAAATCGATCTCACGTCTCCCACGTGGAAACCACTCAACCAACCAACTCCGCCAATCCTTGTGGGCTAAAAACCCCCTAAATTTACCATTGCCAATTGTGACAGTCTTTGCCCTTTTTATTGGCTGATTTTATCGACGCATCGTTAGAATCACTATACAAATGGGGAGGGGATAAAGTGGGAGTAAAATAAATTCAACTGAACCCAATATTTTTAACATAGGATACATGTTTATGTGCATATGATGTGCTAAAATCACAAAAATTTCAGCAAATACCAAATATGGATCCCTTAATTTCATTAATGCAAGGAATTTAGTTGTAGGAACCTTAAAAGGTAAATCCATCTAAGTTTTTTCTACACCATCAAGTCAATATGACATGCAACAACAGGTAATTGTCTATGGTAGCTAATTTGACTACCTACGAAACAAATCAAATAACCTTTTATAGCCAATCAAAACACTTGATACTATAAATATAATTCACACAGTCAGTTTATGTAAGTAATTTATTTACAAATCACTATTCTAACTAAAAAAATTAGTTGAGGGCACATATAGGTTGGTATCTCAGAAGTTTAGTTGGTATATTAGTTATGTGTATATATAAGTCGTGTACACTCATATTCCAGAACCATTAAATAAAATAATATTTCCAAGCTATACTCTTAGAATGAGTTCTCCTCTTGGGTCAAAATCCTTCTTTTTCATACTGTTTTTGTTATTTAACTACATGCACTTGATAAATGGCTTTACCCTTAGCCCCAAATTTACTGTTGTCATTCGCAATAATCTCCCAAATAATTCTGAGAAATTGAGTTATCGAATTCAGTCTGGAGAAAATGACTTTGGCCTTCGTACTCTTAATGTGAATGAGGAATTTAGTTTCGGATTTAAATGGAATTATTTTGGTACTACTGAGTTCTATTGTCACTTTTATTGGGGTTCAAAGTATCAAATTTTTGATGTATTTAATAATACTTCTCCATGTGCACATAATTATAAAAATGGTCTGTGTTTGTGGGTTGTAAAAGACAGTGGTTTCTATTTAGCTGCTGATAATCCAAATCCATCTCCTGAGGATTTGCATAAAACAGCTGACTGGAAATCTAACATGTTTAACTAAACTATATTATTATGTCAATGAATATTTTATTTACTTGGATATGCAGTATTTACATTTCCATTTTGATTTCTCTTACAGTAATTGAAGGATTTGCGTTTCCTGTTCATTACAATTTACAATTATGTGGGTGGGGGATCGAATATTCACCAACAAGGTGAAACTTCAGATAGCCAACCCACCCACCAATAAGGTAAAACCGACTGAGCTACTAAGATTTCCTCTCCATTATGTGCCTAATAAAAGGTTAGCTTATATGTACAATGGTGAAAAACGACGAAAAATCATTTTGTTGAGATGGAAAAAAATGGCAAATATGATGTGAAAACGAAACTGCGAGGTGTTTTTGTTGCCAACTATTAACGGATGGCAAATTTAGGTGAAAGACGAAGGAAAATTTGAACCCTTTATTTAGTACAAATTATTTCATTCTGTAGTTTTAGATGACAAAATGACCCATCGCTCATTAGTTTGTAGGGTCATTTATTTACATTCACCAAATTTTGTTAAAATTAACAGATCCTTTTAAGTCAAGAATTTAAAATGCCAATATTTGAAATGTAAAAGTTTAAGTGTCCATGCCAAAAATGCAATTAAAACCCCGAAAACATAGTCTATAAACTGCAACTTTCCCTTGAAACAAACTTAAGACCAACTACTACTTTCTTCATATCTAAATTTTCCTTTCCAATTCAAACAAACACACGCCAGAAAATGGCTTTCCTTTTTGTTCACTTCATTTTTCTTGACAAATAGACCTTATCCTTAAGGAAGTCAAACCTAGAAATACCTTTCACCAAACAAGAGACAATATTGGAGAAGAATGCTAATCTCATTTAACATAAGAAACAGAAGAATAATGACACCAGCATAGGGGGGTCTGTTAGAAAAATCCATGGACTGAATCAAATACTCGGTTTATTAACTTGATCAAAGAGGCCAGAGTGAGAAAGAGCAGATCTGCGCTCCACATAATACTCAGAGAAGGATACAGAATAACGAGCATATTCGTGCAAGATAAGTACATAATTGTTATGTCAATAGAGCACGACTAGACGCTGAAAGATTTAGAATACTCTCATGTGAAAAGCTATCAACGTTTTGGATCTATCAAATAGGTTCACTTGGTAAACAACTAATCTATCCACGGGTACTATCTCAAACTCAGTTAGTTTCTCATTTTGCGTACATCTTTTCTATATCCTTGGTACTCTTATTGTTGGTGCTTCTTCATTTTTGTACATGTAACTCATGCACCTCCTTGGTGCTTTTCGTTTAATATACAATACTCTTTACAGATCAAAAGAATCTACGCGCAAGGGTTAAAATGACTGAAACTGAAGTGAAGATGTTGGAGGAATACATCAAGGCCTAGCACCTAATTGATCCAAGTTGGCTAGTACTGCAGTACATCATCAAAGAAAACCAACGCAAAAATGAAATGGGAAACAAATGTAGCTTACGGACAGTGTCAAGGAAGAGCCGCATTATAGACACGATCTCATAAACGAAGAACTCTCATTTCTCAATACTTCTGGGAGCACTAAATCTTATGAGAAGGAAGAGATGGTAAAAGATAGTTTCTCTCTGGATCACCCTTGGACATTAATACAAACAGCGGTGGAGCTCCAAACACACATCTCAACCAAAAACAAGAAGGAAACTGAAAATGGCGGAGACAAAAAATAGCACAAAGATTTTAGATGTAACAGTAAAGATAGAATAAAATACATTTTCTTCATAGCATACCTTAATACTCTGTCAATTTTGGTGTCTAACAGTCTAAGTAAGACGCAATAGTATACCTTTGATCACAAATTATGTGTCATGTGCATTATGATAAATTATCAAGGGATAATGCACCATCTAACAGTCAACATAACAAGATTGCTAATTGCCAAAGAAAATATTGTGAAATCCAAAAGTGACGATACAATGACATAAATCAATGATAAATAGCAAACAAAAGGAGAAAGAATAGTTTTCATTGCTCACAGTAAATTAAGAATGTTGTTTAAACAGAGACGGTGCATTGGATTAGCACATTCGAGCCATATTTTACCTATTAATGCTCCATTGTTCAAATGCCTAAGTTTTGCTTCAGCATCCTTGATCAACACGAGCAAGAGAAATCATACTTGAAAAAGCGATACACGAGTCACTAGTGTATAAATGGGCATGTTATAGTCAGTACTCATGATCCACTGGATTAAACCTTGCTTGAGCTTGATTCATATTATGAAAAAACACCATTGAACTAACCCTTAGCTTGTTTGGAAATTATGTTATGAACTCGACCGGACTGACTTACACCTCTACAGCTCTACTTGACTGTTATCAAAGATTCCTCCCCGATGTTAAAATGAAAAATTCCATTCTAAACGATGTACAATTCTTATACATGTATAAATACACACACACACATACTAACTTCAAAATTTTCTCATATTAACTTATTGAAGAAAATAACCAGACAAGAAGAACACAAAGCCCAAAAGCAGTCCACCATATATAAGCAATGCCTTTTGGCCAGAGGTAAGAGTATTACCACCTAACCCATACTGCTGATTCTGAGCAAACCCAGCAATCTCCACACTCTTGTTATCAAAGAAACTCTTCGCAGCACCGCAAGTCGGACATCTCCAGTCCGCCGGCAGCTGATCAAACGGCAAACCAGGAGGAATGGGATAAGAAGGGTCTCCAGCAGCTTCATTATACTTGAACCCACATGACCTACACTCATAAATCCCAGTATTCAAAACAGCAAACTTCTCCTCAAGTCTTCGCTTGTCAAATTTCTCCTCCTCCTGCTGCTGCTCGGGTTCTGAATTGGGTGTCTCGGAAGTGGGTTGTTCTGAGATGGGTTTGTCTTCTTTGGAGACATCAATGGACTTTGAAAGTGAGCTGAGTGATTGGATTTTAATTGGGTTTCTGTAAAAGGAGGAAACTGAGTGGGATTTGAGGTGAAAAGGTGGGAATGTGAGGTGGGGTTTGGGTTTTGGAGAAGATGGTTGTGTGAGTGAATTAGGTGTGAATGTGAAGGAAGCTCTTGCAGTTGCTGAAGCCATTGAAAATGGTTCTTCTTTTTTTCTTTTTTATTACAGTGCTCCTTGGGATGAATCAATGGCTATGTTTTGGTAAAGGTTTCAGTGAATCAATGGTCTTGTTGTTTGCTGTGCCTGTGCGGGAAGGAACTTGTGGATATAGAGGAACCAACAGGGATCCATGAAAGAGCATATGCCCTATCAAATTTTGGGAATTGGATAAGGTATAAATATAAACTGATTCTAATATACTTTCTTTATTTTCTCAACTTATTTTTAATTTCTTCCCTTTTAATCAGAAAATATGTACTTCCTTTTACTTATTAATTTTAGCATATCAAGAAAAGAATTTTTTTATTTTGTTTTATTTTTATCATTAATTACTCATTTTTCAAGACTTATCAAAATACTATCATTATAATGGATACTATCAAAGATGGAGCTAGAATTTGAATCTTATGGATTTGAGATTATAATTTTTTAAGTTATTGAATTCTAAATTAATAATGAAAGAATTACAAGAAATACACATGACTTCACACCGTAACAAAAATGGCTCATGTTTTTAAGTTTTACCCAACTTAGCCTATATTGTACATATTTTGAAACCATTAGCAAATTCAAAATCTGTTCTTACAAGTTACAACCATTGCTCTAAAAGCTATGTAGTTAAATTTTTGTTCTCACAACTATTGTTTTCACTCCCTCTTCTTCTCACATCTTCTACATATGCTTCAAGAGGTCGTCCGCCATTGCTGCTTCTTACCTTGTGTCACCTGGTTGCAATGTAAGAAAATTGAAGAGTAGAAGTCCACCATTGAAGACCATTCAAAGTTTTGCTTTCGAAAATGGGTTTTTTTGAACTTGTTAGTTTTTGGATTGGGTGTTGTTCCAATTGATTGAAAATATCAAAAGGAGTTTAAAATTTAAATTTGAAGTGATTTGGAGTAGATTTGAGCAAGAATTGAATTAAATTTTAGAAAAGACGCAAGGAAGAAGACGAAGTCAGTTTTTTGTATAATTATGTAAAATCTTGTATAATAGTGTATATGAGTGTAAAAACACACCTTATACACTATTATACACTTTTATACACATTTATACAAGCGTCTGTAGACGAATTTCTTCCACGATTTTTAGTTGTAATTCTTGTTTAAAACCAGCCCAAATCTCCATTAAATGACTTCAAATTTTATATACAATCCCCTTATACTATTTCTAACAAGTCTAAATAACATCCACTCCAAATTTCTCACAAAATCAAATTCGGAATTTAAACCCACATATTTATGCTTGTTAAAAATTTAATTTTCACCGCCCAAAAAATGGTTTGTTGAACTAATATTTGAGTCATAGTTACTGATTGAAAAATTAACTTAAAAGTTTGAGGAATCTTTTTTAAAAGTTAAATAGTAATTTTGAGAACTTATTGGAGTTGAACGTTGAATTTTAGCCAATTATTTTTGAGCTAATTGGTTGTAAATTGAAATATGAACTATAAAATTGAAAAATAGGAAGGCTAGTTGTTTTAATATGAAAATTTCCCATTAATAATTTGTAAATATTTATTGGATTTCTTAATACAAATAATGAATTGGAGCAAAAGCTACTTAATTCCACCAAATCCGCAACCAATACTGTAACTTCGCCCCGGATATTATGGTAAATCATAGACTTCATCTATTGTTGTTAAGGGCGTACAAAGTCTATTAAGGAGAAGTAAAAGAGAATGAAAGGATTATCGAAGATTGGACCAATAATTTAAGAATACCACGTGTTAGTTACCATTTGTTTCAGCTTGCGGATTACTGCAAGATTTTACCAGGAAATGATCTAAGTATTATTTTATTTACTGTATTTAATTGTATAAATAATTTTTCACAATCAATGCCTATTTTTTCTACTATATTAAACTTAAAATAATAATTTATTACTTCTTTCTAGTAGTAATATCTTTACTTAAGCTAAAATTCATTAAATATCTTTTTCAAAATAAAACTCTTAACTGTCTTTCATTCCAGAGTCATCGTTTCTTAATTTCTTTACAAAATTTGTAAAAATACTTTTGGTCATTTAAAAAAATTATCAACACTTTTTTTTACTAAGCATATTACTCCAACTGGTTATTATTTGTTTCAATATTTTCTTGCAAATATATAGTACCTACTTATTTATATAAAATTAATTTATGCAAGTCAAAAATGATTTTCAACATTTGAATTTTAACAGTAATTGAGAAATTTTCAGAAACTATTGTTTAGTGGCTATTAACTTCCTATAGATACCATATACATAATTACTTCCTATAACTACTATTCAGTTGTTATGATAGTGTATTTGTTATATTCGCGCTAGCGCCTAGAAATTAGGGTAGTACAACTGTACGCGCATGTATACACATGTATACACATGTGCGCATGTATACACATGTATTCGCGCCATGTATTCATGAATACCTCAGCAAAAAGCGCCTAAAATCAAAGCAGTACAGCTATTCACATGTTCGTTGTTGTATTCATGAATGCAGCAGTAAAAAACACCTAGTCATGGCAGTCCAATTGTACGCGCATGTATTCACGTGTATTTGCACCATGTATTCATGAATACCACGGCAAAAAACTCCTAAAATCAAAACAGTCCAGTTGTACGCACATGTATTCACATGTATTTGAGCAGTAAAAAACGCCTAAAATCAGGGCAGTCCAGCTGTATCCGCATATATTCACATGTATTCGCGCCATGTATTCACGAATATAGTAACGACAATTACCTTAAAAATAGGTATGTCCAACTGTCTAAGAGAGCGGAGAAACATAAATAGTGTATTTCACGTCTTATTTCATGCCTCGATGGTAGTATATACCATAAATACTTATTTTGCTATAAAATATAAAAGGTAGCTATAGAAAATAATATTTTAAAATAATTTTGATTTATAATAAATAGGTATATATCTTTGCTATAGGACGTAAAATTTCATTATTTTTATAATTAGCTAATCTAAATGATTGTAAAGCTGGTGAGGTTATGCTTACCAGGGAACCAGTTATACTGCAGGCGTATACGTGTGCACCACATCATCCCGATCTAGTCAACCATTTCAACCCCAACCCGAGTCGTACACGAAACAACCTCAAAATTACCAACCTCCCCATCATTCCCCCTACCCCTGCTCGTGACCCCCTTTACTNCAGCATCAACCAGTCTACAACGACGATAACCTCGACGATGACGTCGACGTTGACGGTGATGACGACTCCACTTCCTCCCCTCCTCTCGCCGGCGAGGTCACCATAGCCGTCTCCGGCGTTGGCGTCTCCCCCATTGATTCTCTTGCCCTTTACCCCGATCTTAAAAGACGTCGGCTCGATGATTTCACTATTCCCGTTATTCTGCCAGAGAAGAAGCCGTCGGCGACCTTCGACGACTCTCAACGGAAGCTGTTTCAACGTCTGTGGACTGACGAGGACGAGATTGAGCTGTTACAGGGGTTCCTCGACTACACGATTCAGCGCGGCTTGAACAATTCGTCAACGCCGCAGCACCATTACGATACGACTGCATTTTACGACCAGATCAAGAGCAAATTCCAGCTGGATTTCAACAAAAACCAGCTGGTCGAGAAGCTCCGGCGGTTGAAGAAGAAGTACAGGACTGTGATGAGCAAGATGGGATCGGGTAAGGAGTTCGTCTTCAAGAGCGCTCACGATCACGCCACTTTCGAGATCTCTCGCAAGATCTGGACTAATTTAGGCTCCGCCGTCCGCGGAGGCTCTAACGGCGTTGCTGGCGCTGTCGTTCTCTATGCCCCGCCGGAAGACGGTGGATTGGATGATGACGATGCTCACGTTAACCCTAACCCTTATGCAAATGATCTCATTGATCATAGCCCTAAGTTTAACCTTAACTCTAACCCTAACGGAATTGACATTAAAACTCCGAGACCACGAAAGCGATCTCCAGCTGCATCTACAGAAGCAGTTAAAGTTGAGCAACAGCCTTATCAGCCATCCGGTGGCAGCACCACTGTGCCATTGGCAGCTGCGCCCGTGGCTGAGGTTGCAGCCACAGCCACAGCCACAGCCACAGTGGCTGCTTCGATCCCTAGCTTGATTGAGGAAACAGTGAGGAATTGTGTATCACCAATTTTCAAGGAGTTGTTGAACAGTGTGGCGAATTTGAATGGGCCTAGCAGAGGGTTTGGATTCGGAGGAATGGGGATCAGTCCGATCCCATTAGGGTTCGGGGGAGGTGCAATGAGCATGGAAATGACGGGGGACGAGAAATGGAGGAAGCAACAAATGTTAGAGTTGGAAGTGTATTCCAAGCGATTAGAGCTGGTTCAAGATCAGATCAAAGCACAATTGGAGGAGCTGAGATCAATGGGAAGTTAGTTGCTGATGACAATAATAAAAAAGAGGTTGCTTTTTTATGTATACATTTCTCAAATAATTCTAGTTGATAGTTTTATCAGATTGTTGATGATATAATGGCTGATAGTTGTAGCATTGGATACACTGTGAAGCCGCTCATTAGGTATTTAACTTTTTTGGGGTTGTTGAATAATGAGTTCTAATTGTTTGCAGCCCCTGTTATTTGCTCTGCTTGTTTGAAGACTGTTGCAACAATAGATGCTGTCTATTTTGTATATAGAAATGAATTGATAGAAGCGGATTGTTCAGTTAATGTCAGTTCTTGATCTCTCTGATTGAAATGCTGGGCTGCTGCTTCTCTACATTTTCCTATTTTGTGTATATGCTCTGCCTTTACAAGAACCAAAGGTGCCTATTCTGTTTTTGATTTCAAGAAAAGTAGAGCGAACTTAATGTCTTTGTTTGAGAACTTTTAAGTTCAGTGGTGACAAGGGACCTGTGTAGCTAGTGAATGTTCTCTTGAGTAAGCACTAGTTATGGCAAATTTCCAATTAGATAGATGCTTTCCAAAGCCTCTAATATGAGATAAATGAGATGGGCAATAATTTATGTACACTCAGCGTTTACACAACCATATAGATTTACCATGTTAAGCGATCTAGTGAATTACAACAATAACGACCCAGTAAAATCCCACAAAGTGGGATGTGGGAAGGGTAGTGTGTCCGCAGACCTAAACCCTACCCCGTTGGGGCAGAGAGTTTGTTTCCGACAGACCCTCGGCTTAGAAAGACGGAACGAAAACAAGAAGAGACAATATATCAGTATTATCAACAGAAATCATAGAAATAGTAACATAGTTAAGTGAAGTTTTTATATGGACGAATACAAGTCATGCGTTATTGCTCTGGTGTAAATATTATTTTTATGATTTGCAGGAACATATTTGAATATTTATTCCCTATGCTTGAACAAGCTATAACTTCCAGTACCCAGTGTTCTATCCTGGGATGTAATCAAGTGCTTTCTAGCGTTACATTCAAAACCATTATGGAGTGAGAGTCATAGTATTATTGGCTGTCATCTCTGTTCCCACTTCAAAATTAGTACCGACTTGCATCGTTATAGTTTTAACTCTAACCAGAAGAGACTTTGCCCGTATGAACTCCATCATATTCTGATGCAAAAATTTCTCACGCATAAGTTTAAAACGAGATAGCAGCAGAGCGGAATTCTAGTTGCACCAGTCGACACCAAAACCCCCACATCCGTCGAAGACCAAGCCCTCGAGTCCTTCCCCTGATACCGTTCCCCTTCCTACTATCCGAAAGTAATATCTCTAACTCCTTCAAGAATTATTATTAAACAAAAGAAAAGGGAAAAAGAAAGAGGCTTGTCGACCTGACTGGTATCCACATGTTAAGTTCAACAGATACATACAATTTGAGAAAATGAGTGCCTTGAAATATTATTCAGAGAAAGCATAATTAGTTTATCAACAGCAGGATCAGTAATGAAATCAGATGACTGTAGTTTTCTTCCCTTACAATGTGTAGGTCTTCTCTCAATAGATGGTAAACTTTTCTTTGGTCTTCTCGAACACTTGCTCAGCTATAAGGGCTCCCTTACCATCAGCCTTCTTGATCTCTAATTGAGCCTTCTGATAAAATCCAGTACCTCTAAGAGCATCCGCAATGAAATCGTCGAACCCAATAGCAATTGCAGCTTCAGCTTTGGCCCCATATACCAACCTCTGTGCAAAGGACACAGGTAGAAGCATCAGCATTGTCAAAATGAAAAGGAGGAGCCTGTTCAGTTCAAAAGAATAACAAAATGGAAAAGAGTCAAAAGGCACAAGTATACACACCTTGATACGTGATAGATGGATAGCGCCAAAGCACATCGGACAGGGTTCACAAGAAGCATATATCTCACAATCTGAGAGCTCAAATCGATTGAGCTTTCTACATGCCTGAAGATTTGTCAAAAGTGATGAGATCAGATGCGAGAAAAATACTTGACAGAAATTTGTAGTTCCATAAAACAGCAAAACAAAGGAGAATTATGTATGTATCACATGACAAGTGACGCTTGACCACCCCTTTGTCAAGTAATCCACTTTCATATATACCTTGACATCACAAAGCTGCTTCATTGTTCAGACAGGTATCTCATAACTAGTCAACAATCTTTATTTTAACCTCATTAATTTCTTGTTAATTCATCAGAGAGATCTGATGCATCAAATACATCGTTTTTTCAAACTATGAATCTCCAATAGTATAAGATGAAACTTCTTCACATCATCCCACTGCTCACTAAATGGAGATGTCATTTCATTAGCCCCATTACTCGCTAAAAGGAGATGTCAGTTGACAATTACATCACAAAGCTGTGTATGATCAGTTCTAACTGAACACCATCAATTCGTTAGGGAACTAAAAACACATGTCAACTCCGTAACATTGGATTGTGAAAATCCATCGTAAACATTTTTGGCAGGAGAGCAAGCAAATATAGCAGAAGCTAAGGAAAATAATTCTAACACTCGCAACCACCACCAGAGAAATTTGGGTGTTATAGTAATCCTATCACTGGAATTGTATTCATTTCCTTCACCAACTACCTTTCTTCACTGCATATCCAACCTAAGAAACAGCGGTGCAGAATATTTAGTGGCCAAGAACTTTTGCCAGCACAGCCACAAAGTATTGACATCGGTCAGCCCATAAAAGGAAGGAAGGAGAGG